AGGTTGGAAATCACTTCGGATTCGAGAAACACAAATCAGATCGTCTAATTCACTAACTACTCATATTCCTTCTAAAAATTTTCAGTTCTGAAATAATAAATTCTGTCTCACTTTTCATGGAAGCACCCCAGTATCTTACGTAATTATTGATGTAGGAGTCTGAAATTCTTAGGACCAAGAAAGAGATCAAAGTGAGATCATTTTCGATAATACACTGCTCGCCAGCAGCCATAGAACCACCGACATTCGAGGAGGAAGAATTTATTTAGTCGGAAAATGCACTTGATGGTACTTCTGATATTGCTAATCATAAAGTCAGTTCTCATCAGATATAATGAAATAACAATCAAAACTAGTAAAATCAGGGGTGTTTCAACGGATCAGAAATCCTTACTGGTGTAATTGAAATGAATCGTTGATTGATGAATTCGTTAATAGTATGAAGAAAATCGTTACCGAAAATAATACGTCAAAATATGGGAGGTTAGTGAATTGCGCGTCCTGTTCTCGACTTCGAAGTAATTTTCAACAACATCTTGTCTCTTGATATTATTTTCCGGACATGTGTGTAGTTCCACGGCTGTTGGCGAGCAGTGTATATTACTGAAGATGACCCAACTTGGTCATAAAGTGCATTTTTGGTATATCTCTCCCTCCTGCAAATTTCAGAATCCTCACCCAACGATTACGTATGATACAGGGGTATTTCCATTATAAGTGAGACACACTGTATATATAAATATAAATACATTGTGAATTCGCATTCTCTATGAGATGAAAATATCAATTCTTTCTCGATTTATTCTACAGAAAACAACTGCTTTCCTGGGTAAATGCCACGACGAACATTGAATCATATTTATTGAACACACACGATAAGAATTTGAAAAAACAAATGTTCTGAAGTTGAGAATTCGCATTCTTCTTCAGATAAAAATATGTATATGCAAATAATATCATTCCGAATAATCAACAGAAAACAACTATTTTCCTCAAGTGGTAAACTTTGATTGATGTGTTCAAACTCGTGTTCAAAACTCGGTTCAAAACATGTACCATTTCGAAATCACCTCGTATAATTCGAGTTACGTTTCATAATGAATCCATTTCGGATGGCTATATATAATTCCTCTCTTCATAGAACCAGAAGACATAATAGGAATAGGCGCTACATTGCTTTGTAATAATTATATTATGACAATATTTGCAATATTAGTTGCAGGTGTAAATAATTTCTGTGCGGGGAAACATAAATTTTGATTCACCATGTATACGTCGAGGTGCACAGGTGGTCAATAAACTACCGGATTTAAGTGCCTGCTCAATGCATCTTGTCCTTGTAGAGCAAAACCGAAGCCTTTAATATATCCATAACTTATGTTTATGGCATTCCCTTTTCAAAAGCGATTTATTTCTTCCACGCAGTTCGCGTGTTTTGTCTTTATGACTAGGGAAATCTCCCGGAAATTCGATTATGAATTTTCATAAATACCGAGATAAATACCTACACCTGCATATAGATCTCCTATCAGAGTTTATGTGCATTCTAGAGATTCGTGAAATAATCTTCTCGCGTACCATGCGTGAGTGTGAAATTATAATCACAAATGAGCTAAACATTTTACAATAGGTATGTCTATTAGGTTTCGAGTATAGAGAATTATTGATGTAAAAGCCTATAGCGTTCGATATTAGTATTATACATTAGCATTTTTATTGAAGTTTGGGTGGTAAGATACTCAAGTTAGTAGGTAGTAGACAGTGGTAGGTCGTGAGATTCTATATAAATCGGTGTTCCATAAATAATCCAAAAACAGTGATCAATTTTTAGTCATTTTATAAATGATGAAGTCACAATGCTAAATCATTCTGCTTCCACCATGCATTCCGACTTTTTTCCAAATAGAAACATATATTATAATTGCTTATGAACTCATTGAAGAGCTCAAGAAAAAATCGACGATTGGTTCATATAAGCTTCTATTGAACTTCACTTGTTATAGTGTGTTTATGTCAAATCTCGTAAGACAATATAATAAACATTATAATAATGAACTACGTAACACTAATTTCGTCGCTCTCCAAAATTTTTTCCTCTGTTGAAATATGACTAACTTTTTTCTGATTTGATCGATTTGAATTCGAATCACACTGTTCTCTAGCTCAGTCCTTCAGCTATAATCTCGTAATTCTTTAAAACAGGAGGTTCTTCGCATAAAATCGCTACAGGGTGTTACCTGAAAATATGCAAAATTTCGGAAATTTCAGAAGTATCCCAAATGGAAAAAAAATTTGTTTTTCAACTTTGACAGTATAGGCATGTAGATGATCTCATTATCTTGGGACAGTTCTCGAATTGTCTCCTTATCTCTTTTATTTACAGAGTGATCTCGAAAAATTAACTTCTTGGTTTTGCAGTCATAACTTTTTTCCTCGTCAACCTATTCTTGAAATTTCATGCTCATTTTGAAGCTCATAGACTTCAGATGAAAAGATATGCAGATCAGAATTGACTCAAGATGCACATTATACAGTGTGTCTTACTTCTAATGGAAGCACCCCTGTATCTTTCGTAATTGTTGAGTTAGGATTCTAATATATCATTCGTTTGGTCAACTTTTTGAGAAATTAACAAAAAATACGCCTAACATATTTTCGTACGCCAATGGGCCTGTTGTGCACTGATTAAGAAATTTCAGGTATACAGTTTTAATCATTTTTATTCAAATTAGGCAGAGATTCGTATCTTCATTTGGGATCTCGGTCCAGTAATTGGATCCTAATTGCTCACCTAATTACTCATGTTACTGTGTCTAAATATTGATATTTATACTTACCTAACGATTTTGTTCGGCATGAAAAATCTCATCAAGTTACTGATGACAAGATCGTCAAAAATGAATAATTATTGGATCGTTTAACAGATTATTAGGAACGATGACTGTACAGGGTGATTCAGAAAGAAAAAGATTTTATGGATATTTGATACTTTTCATTCTACGGCTAAATACAAAAGTGCTCTTATTTTACTGTTTTCGGTAAATCCGGATAAATCATATCATAGATGTAGAAACTCAAAGTCATCTCCAAAATATTTATTTGAAGGATCAGAGAACCATCACGCAGTCCAAGTCACAGTTTTTAAAATACCACTGTTATACTTTTTTAATGGTACGCTTTGAGATAAAAAATATGGAATTAAATAACAACTACAATAAATGTAAAATGGTTGAGGGAAAAAATATTATTTTTTCAAGAACACTCTGTATATTGGGAGCAGCAGAATAACGTCTAGTATTACCAGGTGTTACCTACGTAAATGGTGAAATGCGAGAATTTCGAATGTTGGTGGCTTTACAGGGTCCTTCACCAAAATTTCAAATCTGATCACATTCTTCTATTTTCTCAAGAAAGGCAGCTCTTCCACCTTTTATCCAACCAAATCTTGAGAATTTAAACCACAACAACTCGAAGAACTGACAAATTCTAGAATCTGTTGATAAGTACAGGGCGAGTCTGGAGGAAGGGACAAAACTTTGTGAAAAATCGAGGAATTTTCAATTTTCAATAATCAGATTTTTCATGGTACGACTGATATAATCTTGAAGATCAAAGAGACCTGACCGAATGGTTTGAGGAAAATCAAAACATTTGCTCTTCCATCTTCAAACCACAACAACTCAAAAGAATTGACACGACCTTGTTTTCACCAAAAAAGTCCCTGAATCAACTTTAAAAGGTCAAAACCATATATATCCATGAAAATATTAATTTAAAACTGGATTAAATGATAATTTGACCACTTTCTATTGACTAGGTACTGAAAAGCAACATTTGAGGTTTTTCAAATTGTTCTTGTATGTCGATACCACAACACGCCACAACACAATTATTGACAAATTCCAGAATTGGTAGACAGTGCAGTACAGAGTGAGTAGGGAGGAACGGAGGAAGGGACCATACTCTGTGAGTACTCATTGAAAATAATTCGGAATTTCAATGTTGTTATCCTATTTCCACTTGTCATCAATAAAAAAAGTCCCAAAATAACATCTGATTTATGTGAATCAACTCTAAAAGATCCAAACGACACTTCATACCTTTGAGGATTTCAAATTATTTCTGTGTGTCGATAGATGGAACATACTCCTAGATTCTTGTCAGTCCTTCCTGACTCGCTCTGTACATAAATATGTGAGTGTATATTCGAAGAAGAGCAGAGAAAAACCGAATTGTTCATTTTGAAATTGAAGAATGATAAGGAAAAAACATCAAAGCAATTTTTAAACAATAGAGTAACCAAAACTCACATGAGCATAATTTTCCAAAATTGTATCCATCAGCTTTTCAACACTTCAAAAGTCACCCACGACTTAACAACATTCAAATAAATCCCTCACATTTTCTCGACAATCAACTGCTACACACGGGAACCAACAATATGTTCGTCAATTTGCAAAAATCGAAGAATTTTCAATTTTCGAAAATCCGATTTTCCGTGGCGTGAGCGATATAATTATTTCAGAAGATCAAAGAGACCGACTGAATGATTTGAGAAAATTCAAAACATTTGCTCATCCGTCTTTTATCCAACCAAATCTTGAACATTCAAACCACAACAACGCGAAAGAATTGACACTTGTTTTCAGCAATGTTGTTATCCAATTTCCACTTGTTATCAATAAAAAAGTTCCAAAATAACATTTGATTTGCGACATGGGTACGCCATTTGAATAACTGAATCTACTCTAAAAGGTCCAAACGATACCCCATAAAAACATTTGATGATTTCAAATTGTTTCTGTGTGTCGATAGATGAAACATACTCCTCGATTCTTGCAAGTCCCTCCTGGCTCGCTCTGTATATAAATATAAATATGTGAGTGTATATTCGGAGAAATGGAAAGAAAAAACGAATTGTTCATTTTGACATGAAAGAAGAATGAGAAAAGAAAAATCAAAAGAAATATTTAAACAATAGAATAGTAACCAAAACTCACATGAGCATCATTTTCCAAAATTGTATCCATCAGCTTTTCAACACTTCAAAAGTCACCCACGACTTTACAACATTCAAATAAATCCCTCACATTTTCTCGACAATCAACTGCTACACACAGGAACCAACAATTTGTTCTTCAATTTGCAAAAATCAAAGAATTTTCAATTTTCGAAAATCCGATTTTTCGTGGCGTAAGCGATATACTATTCCCGAAGATCAAAGAGACCGACCGAAAGGTTGGAGAGACTGCGTCGCACTGTGAATAAGAACAGACAGTCGCGTGGAAAGTGGTGAATGAACCAACCAGCGCAAGCAGAGGATGAAAGAGAAGTGCATAATCGGGATGAGTCCACGAAAACCACATTACTTTATCATTCAAAGAATAAAGAATCTATTCATCTCTCAATTGCAAAATGATATGGCAGCTCCTCAAAATATGCTGAACTCTCACAAGCTCACCCTCAACAATGATAAATCTAGTTACATATTATATATTAGTAAGTCAATATAATATATTGTAATCATACAGTGAAATATCTTGGACTTCTGATAGATGAAACATTATCAATCCATGCACATGTCTCAGCACTAAGAAAAAAGTGACCGGCATTATACAAAATGAAGCAGTACTTCTCAGACTCAGAGTCACAACAATGGCTACCCACCCCACCTTATTGATGGAATTTACAATAGACATCGACAAAAATGTATCAACCATAGTTTGATACCACATGATACCACTCAATAGTTCTAGAACCTTTTTCTCTTCAATTCCATTTTTAGGTAAAGTATCCAATGATTTGAAAAATATGTTCCATCGTTTCAGCACAGATATTAACATTTCCTTCCATACTTTAGACACAATTTCTCATAATTTCGTTAATAGTAAAGACAAATTACCACCTACGTCTAAGTTAGGTGTATATAGAATCTCTTGTTCGGAACCCTAATGCCATGCACAATATATTGGTCAAACTGGTAGAAGAATTCATGCGAGAGTAAACGAACATGTTAAATTGTTGTTGTTGTTGTTGTTTTTGCGAGTATAATAACCTTCAATCAAGAACATCCAAAAAAGAAAGATATGGTCAAAATTAGGAGAATTCTGTATTATCTACATTCTTACCAAGATTTGAAAAAATATAACGCCCTGATATACTTCACCACCTGGTATATAGCTCCTCAACGAACCTATTATTAGAGTATTACATCTACATCCTCAATATATCTCTAAGATCTGTTGCTTCATTTGATGAAATGAATTACACTATACTATGATTGCCATCACGTTGGACGCACTATGTCTGAACTAATTGTGTGGATAGTTTGAGATTTTTATAATCAACCAAAAAAATCTCTGAAATCCATCAAAAAACGATAGTAACGTAAGAAAGTAACGATACTCTATATTATACGAAACAAAAAATATTTTTTCCTGAGGGTAGTCAACTCATCCTTTTCGATATTGAATAAAGAAATTACTGGGATGACCAGATACCCTGTGCCACCCTGTATGTCGATAGGTCAAACAAAGGTGGATACATCCTGGGTCAAACCCCAGTTGAAATCTCGGTAAAAATTCATTTCTCCTTCCTGTTTTCGATGATTCAATGAAGTTACATTGTATGTCTTCAATTTCTTCTCCTTATTTGATAACACAATGACTTCGTTGTGTTATTAATTCACAATAAATGCCAAATTTCAAGCTGCTTTATTTTAAACGAGCGAAAAGTTTGTAGTTCATTTATTGGTAGAGGAGGATATCGGTTCGCAAGTTTGGAATATATGTTGTACACTATACTTCCTCTACTATATTTCAGAAATAAGAAACAAAATAGCACAACGTCTAACTCAATAATACATTATACTTGTAACTTTGACGTTATCGCAGTTACCGAACCTGAGATTTCTTTATAATTCTATATTATTGACATTGTATTGAAAAGACTCAGTTTGAAATTATTCTTAACTGCTTGCTGAATCATTCGAATGATCGAAATAACATTATTTCACACTATTCCACACTCAGCAACAGTCCTTTTATTAGTCTTATTTCATTGAAAACTACTGTTGTGTGTTAAAAAAATGCAATCAACTATTTACTGCTCTGAAATGCACAGGGCGGTTCGTTATGCTGTCCTGAAATGAATCATAAACAAAGTCCAGTACGTTTCAGAGCACAAATGAAAAGAAGGATTTTTGAATTTATATATATACCGCCTGATCAGGATTTCTTCAGAGGCAACCCGCATTTTTTCAATAATGTTTAACATACTAAATTACTACTTATAAAATATTTTTCATCCCCTAAACAGGACCTTACTTCGGATCCTCTATTATAATATGTTTCTAAGAAGTTCAACTGTTTAGCTGATCATGTTCTGAATTATTTTTCAGGCAGAGCCTTGTGAAGTGGAAGGGAAGGGAATCAAAATATATACGTAAATCCGCGTCAAGTGTATTGTATTTCAAAGAGTCGACTACTTGTCAACAGGGTCACATCTTCGTGAACCAGATTTTTCTCTGTTTCAAAACACCCCATCTGCATACAGACCACAGGGGTGGCCGTATTATACCCTTTACCCTTCTCCTGTTCGGACCCTTATTCTTTGTTCTCGACCGCGCATACTGTATTTTATTCTCGAATTATCCGCGGTGTAGCATCTAGTAGGCCTAATTATTGGATCTTTTGTGAGGCGGCATCAATTTTCGTTTAGGCTTCGGCAGATGTCGTATACGGGGTGATGCAAGAAGCTTGGAGCAGTTTGTCGTCGGGATATCGAAATTTCTTCAAAACTGGATGCACCACTGAATTTCTTTTTTTTTTCATTGATATTGTCAAGAAGTAGAAATGCTTATGTATTAACATAGCTCAAACTCTCGTCCATTTCAAGAGCTTTTATCATAAATTAGCTTTTCCAAATTAAAACATCCAGTACGTTGAAGTTTCGATCAGGTTAGCGGTGTTCATAGACGTCAGTTCCTTTAAAATTAGCAAAAAACCGTTTACCGTGCGATAATAGGTACCTAGGTATGCAATATCGAAAGGTAACGGCCATTTCCATTGCGGAAAATTGAACCTAGCATCGATTCCGAATATAACACGTTACCATGACAACACCATTTCTTAAACACATTACCATGGCAACGCAGTTCATTAAACACAGCTTCAGTAATTTGAGACATGCCTGGCCTGTCAATTGTATTAACTGTCAATCGTTATTTTCGAATTTTGTATCAGAATTATTCAAACAATATTCGTTTGTATCAGAATTCTTCATTAAAAATATATGCGAAAAGTAGACGAAAGTGAAATCGAAGAGAATGTTCTGGCATATCTTCAAGAAGTGTAAAAATGAAGCATGCATCTTTGAGAACAATTTATTTATTCAGCGCTAAGCATGACAATAAACGTGAAACAATGGTTAGTAAGCAATGGATTGGACACATCTACAACCAATATCACTTTTACGTGTCTCGCTGGTTGCATGCAGTTGCATGTATTATGTTCTCAATTCCCATTCCTTTCGAATTATTTTGTAGGTTAGAAGGAATTGCAGGTATGTTAATGTAATTTTCGGAGTTCGTAGAAATATCATAGTATGTAACGCGTTTATAAACTCTTCTAGACACTCGCTCCGCTCTGCTCCGCTCGTGCTTAAACTACTCGTTACTAAAAGGACGTTTATAACACTTGTTACATAATATACTATTTTTCTTTGCTAACCTGCCATGTGGCAAGCATTTATCCACGATTTTTCCATTTAATCAATGAATGTCAAATTTTATATGAAAACGGTCTTGACTCTTTATTTGGGAATGAGGAAATCCCTATAATGTTCAAGGAACATCGTGCGTTCCTAGGGAGGATAGGGACAAGAGGTAGGTATTGGAATCTTTTTTGAACTTCTGGAGATTATATGTTGTTGGGAATACTTCCTCAGTCAATGAATTCCAGAGCCTAGCCGTTCTATGGATGAAGGAGTTTTGATAAAGTGCTGTTCGACATCTTTCGAGGTTGACAACGAAAGGATGTGCTGACTGGGCTTGTCTAGCTCGTCTGACTGGTATTGCTAGTGAAGGGATGATAGCAGGTGCTGGTGAAATTATCAAAACCTCTCGTCAAAAAGCCCAGCACGCTATCTAATGCTTTCCATACTCCTGTGAGATTCAAAACATTTTTACTGTGACGGGAAAAAAAGTTTGACAATTCATCTCTGTAGACAGGTTATAAAATGTCACTTGTCATAGATTCGAGGGTTCGCTAAACGCTCCGCCTCGCTAATGCAAAATTCGCTTGTCAAACAAAGGGTCACTTTTGATCCTAATAAAAAAATCTACTATTGTATTTTCACTTCCCACATTTTATTCTCAAACAAAAATTCGTGTCATAAAGACCCCCTCCTTATTATAACTAAACCGAGTAATATATTCTCAAACATGCAAGATTGGCTTATCAGTAGAAAACATCGGATTGGTGATGTGCTGATGTGCATCGAATGATATCAATAGTTTCGCAGGGTGGAATAGATTTAATGTTTTTCGGGGTGTGCGCATATAACTGTGTCATCAGCCATAAAGAATTACCAAAATTTCAATATATTCATGTATACAGGGTGACATTTAAATAAATACAAATATCTCAAACTTAAAGAAAGCTTGACATAAGTATTCTATCGAATAGCACTAATTAAAAAAAAATAGGCATCGAAATAAAATTTAGGCAATATGGCTTCCGTCATCAGAGATCAACTGGTGACCTGCTCGCTTACGTCGCACATAGTACCGGGTGACACAGGCTATCGGGCCACCCCTGTAACTTCTGCATTCGTCAACGGATTTTTCTGAAATTTGGTACAGTTATATAAGCAACTATTTCGGATTTGATCACATTACAATCCAATATGGCGGACTTCCGGTTTTCCTGGAAATGCCAGCAATTTTGTTTTTTCAAATGGAACACCCTGTATATTTTTACATATTCAAGTTCAACAGGTCAAAACAAGTGCAATCTTGATATCAAATGTCATTTATTCCACAGCCTACCTAGTTGACAAATTATTCTAACTGCAAGGAAATTCATAAACTAGTTGTTGATTTTTGAATGTATACAATTTGTTACTGCACCGAAAAACAAAAATGATATTTCATTTTGTTCCTTGATGTATGTTCTAGAGAAACGGGTAGGTGGCCCATAGGGGTTCCATTTGAAAAAAAAATAATTTTTGATCAAAAAGTGATGTGGCTGAATTTATTCCTGGATAAGTGACACAAAAAATAATTTTACAGAAAAAAATATGTTCTTTTGTTATGT